CCCTTTAGTACTCGATGTTCCTTAGATCCTGAATCCTATGTTCCCTGACGGCTGTGTAGGTGACCATCCGGAGGTAAGGGTACAAGGTATTACAATTGTCGCTTATTCAGCACCAATTACAGTAACGACGACTGCAACATCAACCATGTCTTCCAACTTTCTGATAAAGATAACTTGAAACGGTAATTTCTCAAAAAAGTTGGCAGATCGCACATCCAAGGGAATGTGTGCTATCTGGTGTACCCTCTCATTTTGGTATGAATAACTATTTCAACTGTCGGATGTGGTGTAGTGGCAAGAGGTGCTCTGTCACACATGCACGACCCGTGATCGGACCCCGTATTGATACCCGCCCAAGCCAATTAGGCCTTGCAGGCCTTCGCTTTCGGATAATCGGTTCCAGACTTGTCTGGTAGGATGAAAACATTGGCTTGCACAACGGGCGGCTGGCCACCACAAGTCATTGCATTAGCTATTGTACATAAGATTTCAAATTGCCACGACGATTCTTATTAGAAGTTGAAGGCGTGGCGCATCCCAAAAACGGAAAAGATTTACGCCAAAAACTTTATCTTTTTATGTTTCTAGGTGGACAGGAATGGTGCATCGCTGATAGGCGCTACAGCTGCTTGCATTATACTTGGATCGAATCCTGCCTAGGGGAAAAAGCTGCTCACAGGTTAGGTTCAAGCTATTTGGAACAAGTTCTACTACCAATAGCCTTTAGCAGTTGTACTATACGACAGATATGCAATGGTTTCCCTCGATTTCAGAGTTCGAGGAAAAAACAAAAAAATCAAAAAGAAAACTTCGTTAAACCCTCCGCATTACTTTAAATGATAGTTTGAAACAGGAATTTTTCTGGAAACCGACATAGAACACTCAGATATGTAGGCCAACAAAATTGTTTTTTTTTAATTATTTTCTACATATCATCCATTATCTGTACAACCATATTGAAAATGCAAATAATCAGTAATATCAAATAATAATAAATAATAAGTTGCAAAAATACACCACAAAAAATTTAAATAACATTTTGAAAATAAATGTAAAATCACTGACAAGACTTTACTACAAAAGGAACAAAATGGTTTTTACTGTGTAGATCCCCAATTTAGATAAGAAGCAACAAATTTTGAACTACCACATATTGTAATGATGCGTATCTCGATGCAAGCATGGAGACCGGAATTTTCCAGAAGAAAACAGATGATGGCATCTGGGGAACAATGGGTGATCAACAATGGCGGTGATTTTGGAGTCGTTTCGAGCAGCAAGAAAAATAGAAGACAGTAAACTGGGACAAAAATGAGGGTGAAACGGAACTGAAAGGATGATGATGGTAGTTGAAAAGAGATGAGAGAATGGTAGTTTACAGATAAGAGGTAATATGATTGGAATCACGAGAAGAAATTCCAAAACATTGGTAGAAAAAAGAAAATTTGTTCTTAGAAAAAAAGAAGAAAACTGGGAAAAAACTGAGAAAGAAGTTTCCTTATATTCTATTTTCGGAAAGATAGGAACTCTGTTGGTTCTAGGAGACGCCATGTATATGCGATCCCGTCATAATTTGTGAAGGTATTAGAAGGCGTACACAGTTAATTAACAATTCTAGCCTACCGAGTGGTACCAAAAGTTGTTCGCAGGCATACTGGTGTACCTAATGTCACACATTTCACCACCGACGGATAGATAGCAAGCTTCATCTCTCAGGTAGATTACAGTAGCATGGTTCAAGCAGCTACAATGAGAATCCAGTACCCATTTCATTACGTAGAAAGGATTGCGTTCAGCCCGATTACAAGATTCCCTATACATATGACGGCTTAGGAGCTGTTACAATTCTTTTTTCCGACGAACGTTCCACTTTTAGATAAAAAATCAATCACCAACCACCATCCTATGCCTACTTCTGGTGGTACTCTGTAATAATTGCCAGAAATAGGAGAAGCTAACCAAAAGAGGAGTCTCTCGAATTAATGCAGCATTATCTTCAAGGAAAACGAGTACATCAGAAGATTAACGCAGTAATACTACCAAGTTGGAAAAAGAAGTAGGAGAAATAATGTTACAGCTGATAAATCATGAATTTGTATGCCTCTATCCGCCAGGTGAAGTGACGTAAGCCTCGGAAACAAGCTCTTTTGAAAAAAAAGAAGTATCTAAAGAAAAAAAGAAGAAATAGAGGATTGAAAGGAAAGGAAAGCAATACAGGAAATGGAAATTGGAAAGGGAATGAAAAAGGAAAAGGAGCTCGTAAAAGTGAAGATGTGTCAAATGGCATTGGGAGCAGCTTAGCGCAGTGCTAAGGCAATTGTAATGTAAGCCAATTGTGAATGTATTCATTCGGTGTTCCGTCGGCGACAGAGCAATGGCTTCTAGAGGCCTAAGCTATTCCACGACGCAATGAGGCAAATGACCACAGCCTGAACCAGCCGGGAGTTTAGCACCGGCCATAAAACCTACGGACACGACGCCCTCGTCGTCATCGACCAGCCAGCTAAACAGCCGACATCCATAAGATAGCAATCTCACACGAGGAGCTGGTGATGAATTAAGACTGTACCTCCTTTGTTAGGTCGCCGCGATCGAGGAACAGATCAAACAAATCGTTTATGGCCGATCGCGGTCTTCACCTTTGGGGACGGCTGAGTACTCGATAACCTGAGGAGGGTTTTAGAAGCGTTAGGTGCAATTTTGTGGTTTATCCCCTGAATATTGATGCCGTTACTTACGGCATGAAATCGAAAATCAAGTGAGCCGGGCACGTTATGCGATGCAGTGACGACCGTTGAAACAGGGCGGTTACTGACTGGATCCCTCGGAAAGTCAAACGAACATAAGGATGGCCGCCAACGCGACGGTCAGACTCCTTCACGAAAGCTCTGGACGAAAGGAGTGCCACGGCTCGTGTTCAGCGAGTGAGCACGATCCACTCGAGCACCTTGGCGCTCGGCAGGGACGAATGGAGACATTACTGGCGCCCGTTTAAGAAAATCGATGATTAGTGGGACAACGGGTGACGCATTTGGTAATATTGTGACCGACAACTCAACGTGACGTGCTCCTACGACATCATGCCCCAGTTTTCTTGAAGAAGAAGCCGTTCTCGGCTTCAGCATGCTATACGGGCCATTCGCATTCCCTTATCCGAATGCGGAAAGATCTGTTTGTTTCACCAATATACTCCTCTTTACACTGAACGCACGATAACAAATACACAACATCGGATGTCATGCAAATCATGCAAATTCTTTCCTCGTCATTAGTATATGACACACGAAGGCGTTGTGCACAGACGATCATACAACAGGCGATTTTAGATCCACCATTCTCACCAGGTTCTCAAGACCAGACTTTCTCACACACAATCGTATGGCCGCGCTTAATTCGTGATTCTCCTGATACAAATGGGACATTAAATGAAACTTTTGTTACCATGTATACGTGACGACTCTGTGCCGCCGACAGTGCCCGATTCGGGAACCTCGTTTACTGTGGACGTTCGTCAGCCCTATGCGGAGCGCTCGTTGCATCGAATCTGTTTTCTCTTCGTCTCTCGAGGAAACTCTCGAATCTGTGTGCAATATAAGCTTTATTACGGCTCTCACAATGCTAAATGCTGACATGTTTTAATGATGGGCTTGCGATACCATTTGGTCCTTAAGGTGCCTGTAGTTATTCCAACATAGACATTGCGAGTAGCGAGCCGTTTGTCTGTTTCTCCCGAATAAGTTTTGTAGGTTCCAGCCGTTGGTTGAACAAATTGAAGCAAGTGTCCATACTTGTTGGGGAATAGAGGAGGCAACTTGTTCTAGAGCGTAGACCCATGTTGTACAATCGGCCTTATACAGCTGCTTCATTGTGTGCTCCATCCAAACGGTGATGGATATCTGTTTCGAAGTACCAATATAAAATGGGTCCGAGTTCTAAAACATATTCAGTTTTCGACATTAACGCTACTTCGAGTACTACAGCATGCCATNAACGATTGGCTGGCTTTGCTCAAAGTTCAGGTCAAATAACTGCGGTTACCTCCAGAACTAAATGGACTTGTAAGAATACAAGTAAAAGAACTAGTCCATTTCCGTTCCTCCCACCCATTCACCACCTAGAAAGCCATCCTAAGACACATGCTGCACACTGTTTTAAGAGTTTTGGGAGACGAAGAGAAAACAGAATCGATACAATAGGCGCTCCACATAGCACAGAAAAACGGCTACAATACATCAAGCTTCCAATTTAGACTAAGGATGGTGGCACAAATTTGTCGTGAAGACATGGCAAAAGAGTTCTATTATTTAGTGTCTCATCAGTATCCGACGAACTGAGTGCTGTCATACGATCATGTGTGAGAACGACAGGTCTTCAGGATTCGGTGAGTGTTGCGGATAATCACCTCAAACCTTTAAAAACAGCTAGTCGAAAATCGCTTACATGGCCGCCTATGCACAACGCTTTCGTGTGTCACGCGCCCATTTTGTAAGGAAAGGGGCTACATGACATCCGGTGTGTTGTGTACTCGAGATCGTGTAATCAGCGCCAAGAGTAGCATATTTGAGAAACAGGCAGACCCCTTCGCATTCGGGTGAAGGAACATTTACAATGTCATGGGAACGAATCTGAGCTCAATGAATCTAGGCTTCATGGTGAATTTCCAGATTCCTTGTCGAAGTAGGTCATTGAAATGGTCACTTCACCTCTATGGACACTAGATAGCTGTGATGTATGTATTCAGAAGCCACTGAAGTAATACGTCAAAGTTCTTCACATAAAAATGCCTTCTATTCCAGCTTGTTTTCACAAGATTCGGTGGTGTAGGAAAAGCAATGGCCCATACAAAAAGAATAAAAAAACGACAATAAATACTCATATAGTTTTCCATAAAACATGGATTTTGTGATTGTGGCCGACATAAAACCAAGTTTTGAGCGTAGGAAACATATAAATAGGAAAGCTGAAAGCAAGCATTGCCACTTTTTCATCAGACATTCAACATGGAACGTCTACTTTTTGCTTTCGTCTTCATTGGAGCTACTCTGGTATGCTTGATATGTTGTTATTGCTATGATAATGCCATGGGTATTGCTTTTTATCCACGACAGATCAATTAGAAGAACACAACGTTCAGAAGCAATTTTTGAAGGCTTGCCAACCAGTGCCAGAACCTTATAAGAACGGATTTGGACACGATACAGCGCACGTGATAATAGTCACCGACCAGGAATACGATCAATCAAAAGTGGATCAGTATATGAGCTACTTCCCTCAAACAAAAGTCAGTGAGAAGGTTTTTTCCCCACCTTAATTGGAAAATTTTCGATTTCTGAAAATTCATTTCAGATTAAACAATATGCTTCTCAGCTTGGAGTTTTTTCAAACCTAGGATATACTGATGTCGATGGCTATTTCGCCTTTACTTTCACAATTAGCCAATGCGTTTGCGAATATGTACTGATTGAGTCGTTTTTTTTTTTACAGCTTTTTTTTGTTCCTAGTAGATACCAGTAGTCCACTTTTGTTTATTTACACAGCACAGTGACTTCTATTTTAAGGTGAAAGAGTGGGTGAATCAAATCGTACAGAGCTCCCAGTACTACATAAGTGGAAACGCTTTGTGCAACTCGCAGAATGATATGTTCCCAAGAATGGTGCTACCTCCTTCAACAACAACAACAACAACAACAACAACAACAGCAAGCCCATCTAAAGTGATTCCACCTGTTCCAGGCTACCCACCTGCTCCAGGCTATCTACCGGTTTCAGCCTATCCACCTGTTGCAGTCTATCCAGCTCCAGTGGTAGTGGTACCACAATATCCTGGTATATGGTGAAGAACACCAGTGATAATCTAGAACGGTTGTCCTTATTCGGAAGTCTATTTCTGATAAATCTTTGATTTCATTTTATCCATATACGAATCACTGAAAAACCTTGAAACAAAGCTCTTTCGAACTGAGTCTCAGAAGGGAAAGAAGGGAAGGAGCACCGGTGTGGATGAGTCAATTGATTCTCCAGTTCTTCTCCAATCCCAGATTGTTCAGCTAAGAAATCATGTCTTTCACTTCGGTGGTCTCCTACTGAGGATTAGGCGAAAACTATATTCCTTCAGCTAACCATGAGAAACCTCGCTTAGAACAAATGTCCATCCAATAAGGTCAGCTACCCCTCCTCCTTAGCGTTCTAACCCTGAGCGGATAAGAGCGATGCTTCCCCCCTCCCCTCCCCCAACTCCCCCAACTAAATTTCCTGGATTATGTGTTTCATCCACTATTGAGCTCTAAGAACTCTTCTCTGAAGAGGTTGTTCACGATGATGTAAAAGAATGGACTCCATGAGGGGAACGGCAAATTCCTCTTCAGTTTAACGGCAACAATAAATTTCCAATTGGCAAGTTCTAGAGGTTCAGTATAGTATTTTTACGGAAGCATTTTTCAGATAAAATAAGTCCAGAAGAATGCAGAATTCCTAAGTTTATTTCATATTANAATAAATTTCCAATTGGCAAGTTCTAGAGGTTCAGTATAGTATTTTTACGGAAGTATTTCTCAGATAGAATAAGACCAGAAGAATGCAGAATTGCTAGGTTTATTTCATATTATCGTGATGAAGGGAAGTGGCAAGTGGTGTATGCTATCAGATCGCAATCATGATCAGGCGATCGAGTCCCAGATCGATACTCGATCAAAACAATCAAGCTTTTCATTTTCCGGACTCACTCAATTGGTACTAGACTCGTCTGGGGGTATAAAAGCACTGACTTGAACATCGGCTGTCTATCGCAAATCATAGTACAGGTACCATACGCATTTGAAACCACCACATTCTGAATGATTCCAATATCTCAGACCACAGAGAAGGCGTAGCCTGTTATTCTTCGAAATCGAGCCAGTTCAAAACACCTTTTTCTGTAACGATGAAGAATTTCCAGAATTCTGGGCAGTTCTCCAAGCTCTTACACATGAGAACAAAGAATTGAACCTGGAAGAAAAATGCTATTTTCAAAAGGCACCCTTCTCGAAAAACTCGACATAATCGTTAACGGTATTGATTCAATCTCAAAAAAACATCATGGATAACTGAAAGTCCAAAAAAAAGAATACGAAAAAGCCCGATAACATAATAGAAATAGTTCAAAAACAATAACTGTTAGTTTGAGAACCGATTTCTGAGATGTTCTACGAGGCGGAATTTGTGGCCACCCCGTACCCCATATGTGACATTGTCAAATCGGAAAACGGCCGATACAAGACACTATTAGGGCTCAGAGATTGTATCGACTCCATGCCACACCCCGAGGTGGACGAGTTTTAACGCCGCAGTGGAGGCTGCACCATTCACTAGAAGAACCCACGTTGGAAATTCGAACAACTAGTCGTGACCTATGGAAGGCATTTTGGACGATTTGGCTCGAGATAGTCGGCTCGTTGAGGAATTGCAACAGCTGAAAATTCGTCCATATACCACCTTCCAGGCCATTTCTGCCGTGATAATATCGTACATAGGACGCTTTATTCATCACGAAGTCAGCGATTTTTTCGCTTCCTTCGCCGATGGTGAACTACTCCCCACCCAACTCGCTACTCAACTTAAAAGACATCTCAAGATTATCGTAAACCGTGCCTCCGAAGCCAGTGTTATGAGTCCACCAATAAACAATGGGACTCCAGCACAAGTGTCTCAGATAAATTTACGATGCTGATAAATCAAAATTACTAACCTTCGATCCAAGCTGGCCGATTCCACATCGACGATAGATGAGCTGCTTTTCAATCTTCAATAAGCCCCAATGACCTTCATGGGACTATCAGGGAAAACTGACAGAAATAGGGAATGGTAAGGCCATCATAGCATGATGGGATGAGTACATAGTCTCTTTACAACCAATTTATTTGTTTGTTTATTTGTTATGATTTGCTGTGCAAGCGTAGCTCGTCGAAAAGAAAGGAAATTGAAAGAAATTGATTGAACATGGGTAGCAAGAGCGAAGGGAAT